TTCAGACATTATCCATGCACAATTTCCAATCTGGCCCAGGAAAGGTTGGAGTAATAAGAACTTAATCTCAGAGAGATAAGGTCACTTGCTATACATTAATAACACTTTCATTTATATAATTTGCAATGGAGTATTACAAGTGATTTATGCATATTACAATGTTGATAATCTAAAGAAAGAATAAAAATTGCAAGATTAGATGGCTGCGTGAAACAAAAAAAAATATATATATATATATAATTTATCATCAAAGAAGGAACCAGTCAAAGCTATACTTTGCCATATATGTGAGGGGGATGTTTTCTGATGCCTAAAAGGCTGAGGTTATAGTATCACTCAATGTAGTTATTCTGAACTTACCAAACAGTCCAGTTGTGAATAATGACCCTTACACATATTTATTTTACTAGATTTGCTGGTGTTTTTTTCTGTAATGAATGCCAATGAAGAAATATACAAGGTAAACAATTTCATTACGTGGTTAGGTCTACATAAAGCGCTCTACGAACTACACCACTTCAAGTACTTGGATTACCACTGCGGTACATCACTATATATGGGCAAGCCGTATGTTGGAAATGCTTGCATGCAACTCATCAAACTTTTCTCTGAAGAACTAATCATGTTGAATTGATGATGAACTTCCACTCAACTCACGCAGCATTCAAAGGAGTAGTCAAGTAATCCAGAAGTAATAAATCTCAATTTAACCTTTTGTACCATTTTAGGATTATCTATCAGACATGTACGATTCCTGTCATTGTCGTTATTACGCTGCCTCTACAACACTTCGCACATATTTACCACATTTAAAGGCACACTCAAACGTATATTTCTCAATATTTTGTTTCACACTGGAAATTAATGGGTGACTGAAGCGAAATATCAATATTCATACCCAAAAAGATTCCAGTCCGGTTTAAACTCCAGAATGTTTTGATGTTTGTTGAGCGCGCGTTTTGATTGGTTGAGCACGCCCTTCGCTGATTGGTCAAGCGACACTCGCATTCGCGTTTGAAATTATTTTGATCCTTTGTCCAGTTTCTCAAATAAAGAACGTTGATATTTTGTGATAAATAACTCATTATCATTACGCAAATTCGTGATTGGTAATACCAAAGTAAGAATTATATAGAAAATGTGTTTACCTTCTTTCCAAAAATATTTATGAATGAATGTTTTCCTTCGGATTACTCCCGCCACAGCTCGGCGGTGATATAACAGCACAATTTGTGGCATAACAAACTCTTATCTCCTGTAAAATAATAAATGTAACAATGAAAATCCTTTGTATTTCACAACTGTCTACATCCTTACCCTTGTACTTATATCGTTAAACGGCATATCTCCCTTTTCAGTCCTCACATGAGTCATGAGTGATGTCACTGGAAGCGCGGAAGGGCAGGAGAGGCGCTGTCTCTCGATGAGGGAACCCCTAAAAGAATTGAAACATGATGCATGTTCAGCTTTGTCCAGACCTTTATGCAGAATTATAATCCCTATATCATATAACACGACTACATATTTTAATTACACCATAGGTTACTGCAAAAAAATTCTGTTGAAAAAATAGTTGCTAAAGATTGATACACTATCACAAGGCAGTCTGACTATTTACTGCATTAATTAAATCATGACATTTCACTGGTGCAGTTACAAATGGCATGCACATCACCCTTTAGTTTGTTTTCTTGATTTTGTTGAAGTTAGTGCCGTACTTATCCTTGTATTACCTACTGTAGACAATACAAGGAGTGTTCCAAATAGTCTTCAGAATTACTAGAGGCCCATGCACTGATCCTAATGTTCAGTTTTACAGCTGATTCACTGGAGGAAAATTTTATCAACCGTTACTCTGCTTGCGACTCAAAATTAAACTCAAAATACTTCGAGGGCCAATTTTAATTTCACTACCATCTTGAGGTCAGGAAAGGTATATCCTGATTTACATTGTTAAGAACTGTTAGTAACGTGCGTCCTTACAATTTAAATGTCGACAGTAAAGGTAACAAATTGTACATGTGCATTGACTATGGGCTACTACATTTTCTATCGATAATCTAACCAAACGAAAGGATTATATTATGTGAATTATGTCTATTGGTAATTTAATGAAAGCAAAATATAGTTCTTGAGTGATCAACACACAAATGTCTGAAAACATATATTAACATAAAATATCTATGATAGGCGTAGGAAGGTAATTTGAAATGGGAGGGGTGGGGGGGCAAAGTAGGTTGACCCCGAAATAGGCGGGGTCCTGGGGCTACAGACGCTGGTGGGATCCAGGGGCAGCGTCGATGGTGAATCTGGGGGCGAAGCCCCCATGAACTCCTAGATTTTAGCAGTTTTAAAGAACTAAACTCATTAATGTCTGTGCCAAAATCTCAGTTGCAGGAGTTACCGTTCTCAACAATTTGGTAACTAAGGAAATGCGCTGTTTGTTTGTTTACAATGTCCTCGGAAGTTGAGGGGTGAGGGTGGGGGTGGGGGCAGAAGTTGGGTCCCGCCCCCCTCCTCTTCCTACACCTATGCCAATGATAGGTTTCGTCATGCAAACTATGTCAAGCACATAAACGCATGCGCTCCTAAAAAGAAAAATGAAAAAAAAAATCTAGATCAGTGTTATCGATTTTTTTTCGGGTGCGACCCTAAAGGCAGTCTTAGCCTGGGATAGCGACACTGAATGTGTGTACGTAATATTTCCAACCATTTTCATTGTAGTTATACTTGCAGATGTATATTAGCTTACGTTATTCAATACCTTTATAGGTTTATATTACCAACACATTGAAGTTCAACGAACAAGAGTTAATAAAAAATAACTTCTATTGACATCCAGCTATAAATTCTTTTATTCTTCGTTTAGGACTCTCTAGCGACCCTCAGAAAAAAACTCTGGTGACCCTCACTGTTCTAGATACTATACATTTTATTCCCTGTTAAATATTTTTGTTTTGTTAGATGTTTCTGTGATTTAACCCCTTCCTGGTTATGTGCTTGTTTTCACTATGTACTGTACATGTAACTTTGAATTATCTTACATTATTCCAGTGGTTCGTGTGAAATTTATTGCCTGATATGTTGTTTACATCTTCCCCCATGCAAACGAAAACAAGTTCAATGTAATTTTTCCTTTGATGGAATTTTATTAATTTGTTTCGGGTAGAAATCCTCTTCAAAATCTAGGAGCGATTGTTCTTTTTCATCTGTAGTAGCATTTGCTCCCGATTTAAGATTAATTGTTTCTCGGTCGAAGGGAGAAGTGAAATTAGCCTCCCAGTATTGTAATGCTTTAGTTTCCCCTTGCAGCTTTGCCATTAAATGTTCGGATGAGTCGGGTGGTTCGTATATTACACTTTTTGTGTCCCTAGTCAGCACTCCTAGTCTCACAGTATCATTCAATTATTCTGTTAGAGCATCTGTGTTTGCCGCAAAAAAAAAAAAAAAATCTAGTGTTATTAGCTACTGCTGTATTGTCTCAAAATCGTTTTGTTTTAATTTGTTCATCATTTTAGTCCTTATTCAAATGTATTTTTCTGAAACTCTTTTATACAAGCAACTCTTACAAAGTTCTTACTTTGTTTTATGCTATATTATAGGTTATTACCAACAATATATTTAAGTTCCCCCCTCATTGTATTTTTATGCACATGAGTGCACCGACATGTAGACCCAGGGCTGTCAGCTATTCCGTAGCAGTATTTCTACAGTTCTCTAAACATCAGAAGATAAAGAAAATGGATATAAATAATAAAATTGACAACACAGTAACATAAACGGATGAATTTTAGATTACAGTTCCAGTGCGTAGGATCAAAGTCTGGTGATTATAAGATTCCCTGCGCTGATTTTTTGTTTATTGCACTGCATAAAACAATAAACAATAAATACATTACTAAGCTAGTAAAGTAGCATTCAACAATATAAAATGCACCCTCATTTCTTTATAGAAACTGTATTAGATGTATAACTTAAGAAAATGGGACATTGACCCTATAAACTAGATTTACCTAAAAAATATACTATTCATAGTGAGTGTGTTGTAGGGCTGAAGGTTTAAAGTAACTATATGGGACTGTAGTTCTACCTTTGGTGATGCCCAGCTAGAAGATCCAGCTAAAGTGACATCAGATGAAATTTCCGCCGCAATGACGTTTGGGCTGCCACATCATATCAGTCCATACCAGGATGGTTTCAGTAATTGTCATGCTTAATTTATGTGAACATGGAAAAATATCTTGTTTTTGTTTTAAAATGTTTTTTTTTTTTTTTTTTTTTTTTTTTTTTTTTTTTTTTTTTTGCATCTAGACATGTGTAGTCATACAAAATACGGCCTTCGGAAAAGAATTCCATTGTGACGTCACCATCCGTCGGTCGTCTTTTGTTTCCGTTTAGCAGACGAATTTCCGTAGAATTCCAGCCCTGATACAAGATATTAACTAGAAGAACTCAGAGCGCGCATACCTCCGCCATGGCAATAGGTCACTGATGCAATGAAATATTCACACTTGAAAAAATATATTACAATCTCCTTAGTGGAAGTGATAATGGTTTTGATAATCAGGGCTTCCCCTCTTTCCGTACCATCATTACTGCCGTTCTCTAAAATCAGATGATAAAGAAAGCGGATATAAATAATAAAATTGACAACACACTATCATAAACAGATGAACATTAGATTACAGTTACAGTGCGTAGAATCAAAGACTGGTGATCATAAGATTCCCTGAGTTACTTTCTTGTTTACTGCATGCCCAAAACAATATACAATAAATACATTACCAAGCCAAAGGAGTAACATTCAACAACATAAAAAGCACCTGCATCTCTTTATAGAAAATGTATTAGATGTATAGCTTAAGAAAATGCGGCATTGAACCTGTAAACTTTATTTAACTAAAACGTATACCACTATTCACTGTATATTGTAGGGCTGAAGCTTAGAAGTCACCATATAGGACTGTGGTTCTACCTTTGGTGATGCCCAGCTAGAAGTA